CACACTTACACCTCACAGGTTGACGATAATTGCATGCAAATTTAGGATTTTATGGGTTAATTGTCAACAATACGATCAGACAAATGGTACAGCTCGCTGGCGCTATCTGCCGTCAGTGAAAGACAGACGCATACACGTAATATTATTTTTCAAAAACACGTATTCCGTTGTATATATCTAAGCAAATGTATAATTTCTTCTGTTCAATAGTTGTAAAATAAATACGAGTTTGCAAATAACCGTTTGTACATAATACGATCATTGTTGTTAAGATGGAATTACAATAGTCGACGTACGAAGATTCGACGGCTGTGTTACCTACAGGTCGCTCTGCGAAATACGGCGGCTGTCGTCTACTGACAGCTACCTACGGAGGCGTAGAAGGGCCAACTTATAATCACAATAAAAACAATTATATCTCGTTCATACAACATAACTTCTTGTAAGCACTAGATAATTTCTCGTTCGTATATCATATAATTTTTTATATCGTGATTATAGTTGGCCCTTCTACGCCTCCGTAGAAGGGCCTCCTCTAGCGCCTTCTCGTTGTCATACTATAATATGTCTGCACATTGCACAACAACGACAACATACGGGATGGTATTTTATATCGTATAATAATAATTTGAGAACTATCGAGTATTTTAAAATACTGGCATTGATTACAACTATCATACAACGATTTTCCTTTACGAGTTGTAGTGATGTGGTTGTAGTCTTTCATCGATTGGGTATCGATAGCGCCCTATTTTCGCGTTTTCGCCCTATGTCTGTAGTCTGTGTACAATAAATTGGTCGGAACTGTAATGTTGTGCATCTAAGCGTTTTACATTGGATAATGTAAGATTTCAAAAATTCAATCAGCATCGTTGTTTTTTTGATAAATAATCATTACAATAATATTTATTATCAGTGACTTTTTCCAGTCTAATAAAGACTCTAATACTCTAATGAAAATAACCGAGTGTCCGAGTATAATGGATTCTCTAAGTAGGTAATAAACTATATAGAAACATATTAAATAGTTATACCTTTAAATTATATTATGGTTCAGTCGATACATTTTATTATTAAAACGAAAATAACTAAAATGCGTTCTGCTGAACGTACATTTTCCATATTATTTAGATGGTGTTTGTATACTGATGCAATAAATACGCGTGTATGCCCTGACACCATAGTTTATAATTTATAGGCGTAGGTAAGTATGTAATTTGTGTCACTTAAAAATAATTTTGTAATAATCTTTTTTCAAACTTATTAATCTAATAATAATATGTACTTTAAATCATTCATCAATCAATGTCGTTTTAATAGATACGCATTTCAAGAAAATTATTAAAATGTACACAAAGAAAAAAATTTGTAAGCTAATTAAAAATAGGTATACATTGTGTATAAATGAGTAATATATTGCAGTTGATAGTAAAATATGAAAAATCAAGAATATTATAATTAATCATCCGATTTTTGTTCATGACAATACGACATTAATAGTGTTTGATATTTATTCACGTTTTGTGTGCTATAACTGATACCTATGTAATCTGCTTAAGGGGGCTGCAGCCGGTACCAATAATCACGTAAAACAGGCCAAAAGCTAGACAAAACTGTAGGACTTGGGTTGGACGGATTTTAATTTTGAAAACTAATTGAAAATCTTTAACAACTCTACTAAAGCATGGTCGTGAAAATGTATCATTATAACAAAGATTAATGCCGTACTTAAATATATAAAATACCAAAATTCTTATTTTGTAAATTGTTGATATCTTATCGAATAATTTGAATAAATAAAATCAAATTTATCAGGTGAATTCCAATAAATGAAATTGAATGTGTGGTTCAGATTACATAATAATATTATGCCATTACGTTTATGTAGGTATGTGATGAAATTTCTTATCCTATCCCTAATCCCTTAAACAAATCTTAAATACGAGTTTCCCATATTTAATAGGGTTGCCATAAATTCATCTAACAAATCCGGGATAGAGCAAAAAAAAAAAAATATTATTTAATCATAATATTAGCCATTTACATGGCTATGTATCAGAAAAAGAGTATTGACACATTATTTTATACACCCATTTTCAAAAGACTTTTAAGTATCGAAAATATTAAGTTTTAAATTAATTTCTACTTCTTTTTAAAAAAACTCGTTACGAACATTGGCATTTTCTTTTATAGATGCTAAAATGACTAAAAGTAAAATAATGAAAACGTGAATTACGCTACACTAGACTACTAGAGTATTCAGTAGAATGTAGGGAAAAAAAGCTACCGATAAAAAATCCACGGAATAATAAACCAAAAAAAAAAAATCAAATAAAAATTAATAAATACCTACATAAAAAATATATAATTAAAGTATTAAATTATTATTTTTAATTTTAAACATAGTTGGTCATAAAATCAAAGTTTAGGAAAAAAAATCAATTCATTATTTAAAAATGTCAGTTGTTGTCGTTGTTAATTATATTACTAATTTTATAATAAAAACAAAATAGTATTCACTAGTAATGATGTGTTTTTTTATATTTTTTTGGTGTGTGTCTGTCATCGCTTTTTGGGGAAAAAAATGAGATAGTTAGGTATTATCATTGATTATACCTAGTAGGTTCCAGGCCATTTCGTAATGAATAACTATGAGTCTACCCGACTACCCCTCCCTTAAAAACAAGGTTCACTAATAGAAAGATCTCCTTCACTTAACTCAGTGACTCTCCAGTTACTCCCATAACTGTGAGATTAATATACAAATGATAGAAATGACTATATTTATACATGGAATGAAAAGAGCTACCTTCAAATGAGTACTATTTATGACAAAAAGTAGGTAGTAATTAATAAATAAATAAATATATTTTACTTTTATACCTACTTTATCAGAATGATAAATAGCCAAATGGTACACATTTTTTACGAAGAAAGAGAAGAAGAACCTAAATAATAGTTATTATATTAATATATTAAAGTAATTAGTTACTACAATTTATTCAAATGGACACATTAGTAATATGGACACAAAACCATCCTTAAAAAATTTCCTCTGTTTAAAGGTTAAATGTTCTATGTATAAGACAGTATAATCAATGGTAGCTGGTAAATAATTATAAATAATATATTATACCTATTATTAATAGTAGTATATTATTATAACATAGTAGTATACTAAATTACTATGTATAATCAATGATTTTAGATAATATTAAGCCATTTACCAACTAAAAATGGGGTACTCGACATTTTATAATTTAAAATGAATGTATTGGTATATTTAAAATTGGGAATTTCCCTATTACCATCATTCTATTATTTGTATTTCGGACAAAGATGTTTTAATTTATTTTTTCTACTATTATTTTTGAATAGTACCCAATTCACACTGTGTTAGATCCATCTATTAACAATTACAAAGTTTATTTTATTATTATGATGTACGTCATGATATTTTTGAGAAATATGGGGCAAAGTATTAAGAATATTCCAATTTCTTCTGGACTCTGGTGAACAAGAAATATATATGTACCTGGCAGAAAGTAAGTAGAATATATTATTTTGTACCTATAGTTTATTTTAAATATTTTAGAATTTTTTGTAGATAGGATTGTTTTACTACTTGAATTTACTGTGCTTCTAATAAAAAATATTGTAATTTGTACATAGTGTCTATTCGTCAGTAATTTTTCCCCTTAATTATTGTGGCACTAATTAAGGATACACATGTTAGAATAAAATGAAAATAGTTAACAATTACTTTAGATTGTACCTACATTATTTTCATATACTAATTTTACATAAATATTTTGCATGCCCTACGCTCTATAAACACATAAATTACACTTAATACTACTAAATTTAAACATAAGTATAGCATACAGCGAAAAACAATCACAATACCTCAGCGGAAAAGATCTATAAGTTGGTTATGAAACTGAATATCAAATGTGTAGGGCTACAGGGGATCTATTTTTCTTCTTATATTACATAATATATTAAGTATAAAGAATAAAACTAATTTTTAAAAGATAAAATTCACTAAAACACAATTATATTGTTATGGTGGTCATAATATATTAAGATTAAAAACTTGGTTAGACTTTCTTAATTACATCAGATGCTTAGCACAGTTTCTAAGGGGATTTCTGCTAGATACAGCACAAAAGTATAAACATTTAGAGTTTAGAAAATTATAACTAAAAAATTACAGTATTTTTATAGATTCATTGAAAAACAGTCACTTATTATGTGCTAACAGAAAAATGGTCCTCTTCCGTTAAGAAATGTTTTCCCAACAGCTTCTAGATGCGGCGTCTAGCATCAACTACCAATTAAGAAGCCATACTGTTCAACTGTTTGTAGCTGAAGGGAGAACATACCTTAATATACTTTATGACAAAAATAATGTCGCCATAAAAATAAAAATGAATAACAAATTAAATGATAATCTTTTGTAATAATTACCTAATTGCTACAAATGCTTATAAGTTATGAAAGTTATGAGTAACTAACAAATGCCTTATTCATGTTGTACATAAAAATGAGGAATTAGAAAAAATATTTAAAACTTACTGCCTTGATAACAATTTATAAAAAAAATGTTTGTTTTAAAATTTAGTTTTAGTTTTATTATTAGACTAGTCTAATTTATGGAGTTTACAACAGCGTTTCCAAACCATGGATATTTTTAATGGGTCGCGACTCGAAGTATTATATTACGGTCATTTTAGCTGTAAATTGATAAATGCTTAATATATATATATTTATTAATATATTTTTAGTAACTCTTGTATTATTTTATTATGGTTATGGAAAATTTATAATCTTATCCGAAAATGTGCTAATGACTGTCATTGAGGGATCAGTCAATTGTCCATATGATTTTTTTATTAGCAGGAATCGCATTCCCAACAAAGAGTAAATTTATAGGTCACCATAACAGAAAGTTGGGAAACCCTGATTTACAATGTACATTAAATTTCTTATATACTAAATTATAACCATATTGTATGTATATTAAAGAGAAACTTCTTTTCGGAGGTAAATATATAGTTGATGTTTGGTTGATCTTTCATTCTTTGTCGAAAATATCCCATGCCCTAAAACAGAAAACATAATATAATACATAACTTTTATAAGAAAATTGTTAATCTACTTATTTTATGCAGTTAAATAGTTTTACAATTGGGAACAAAAATCTTATTTTAATATTGCAGTAAGGCTAATTATATTCTCATATAATATAATTGGTATAACAAATACAACATTATAACTTGCAATATGATTGTGTTGGGGTTTGAAATCAATGTATTACCAATTAAGCTTGTTATATCTTTTTCATTATAATTGTATTAAATTGTGCTAAATTGTATGTATAATTAAAATTAATAAAAAAAAGTGTATAAATCACTTTTATTTATAACTAAATGAAAACTTTTGATAAGCATTAGGAGCTAGGGCAAGAAAAATGTGATACCAACAGCTAGTTTTATTTTTTGTAGGTAACCAAAAATTTGTATTTTTGTTTCTGGGCAATTTAGAGTGTTGAGTGTATTTTTTATACAATTTATGTTTTGACCTAAACATAAATGATTTTTTATAATTTTGTAAATATTCACAAAATATCAATCGTAAAATCTTGAATTAAAAATCTTAAATTATAATTTTCAATATACAATTTAAATGTTTTAAATATTAAGTCTAATTTACAGCTATTTATAGGAAGTTTTTATATAAAATTAAAAATATTAAAAATACATAGGCACTAATTGTATTTTATATGCATTTATATTAAAGTTCAAATTTAAATGAAATTTGATATTTTAATAAAAATTAACAATTCAGTTATTTTGTTGTAATTCAAATAATTGTATTCCTAGTGACTTGTTACTACTATTTGCCACCCCATAAACTATTATTATACTCAATTATATTTTAAAATATTTTGATTAATTTTAAGGTATTTTTACTATTACCCTAGTCACACCATTCTACATTATGTCAGTATTGACTTATTTGTTAACAATAGCTGGTAATATTATGCAAAATAACATTATAATTATAAATTATTATATAAAATACGTGGTTTGATTTTGGCTTACTGTATTCCTAAGAGTGATATAAAAATGTAAATAAATATCTTTAGAAATATAGGCTGACAGACCATCGTTGAACATTTCCTAAAACAAATAAAGTATAAAATATTTATTAGATATAAATTTAGATAGTTATTAATTAATTACTTTTAGCTAATATTGGCTAATCATGATGAGTAAAAATAAAATGTATCGTTCCTTTTGGAATGTATTGTGCATTGTACTGTCGAACTCCATTGCATTTTTTTTTAAAACTGATGGTAGTTCGAGTTCTTTAAACAATTCGATGGCAAGATCCTCAAATAAAAATTTGATTTAAATAGATACTAAGATACCTAACACTAATTCTTAACTTTATTTTTTACACTATTTGTGATAGGTACCTTTGAATATGGAATAATGTTTAAAGGACAACACAGCACAAAAAAAAAAATGTCTTTAAGTTTTTTTAAATGTTAAATTATTGTAGCCACATTATACATTAAATTAATTGTCAACAATTTGTTGAAAAAAAAATGATAACTTTAAGAGATTTTAAGAAATGTAGAATAGCCGCGTGACATCATTATTGGGTCCGGCTCACCTATCTTTTATGTGTAAAAGTTCCTCACTTCACACAACAATTTTATTTTTGTAATTTAGTTTTTGTATAAGTGTGTGATTATATGTGTTTAAGATAATAAAAGTATCAGAAATTCAATATAACGTTTAGTTTTTTAAATATTAATAAACCTTTAAAGTTATATTTTTGGTAAAAAGCCCATCATGAAAATAAAAATTCAAATATCTCTTTTAATATTTAAAAAACTAAATGTTGTATTGAAATTCCGATACTTGTATCGTCTTAAACACATAAAACCACACATTTACATGTAAATTAAATTCTCAGGTTGGTAAATCGTTGTGTGAGGAACTTTTACACGTACAAGATAGGAAATTACGATGAGCGGGGCCAATGACATCACTCGTCTTTTTCAATTGCTCATAAAGTCATAACTTATTGAATAATGTGAGTAAAAACGTAAAACTAATATCATTATTCTTAGAATTGAACATTCTTTCAAATTAAAAAACTTTTTTTTTATGTGTTGTGTACTTGTGGGCTCATATGTTAATACAATTTTAGCAACAAACCCAAACAGCTGCTTCATCTTCTAGAACTGGTATTGCAGATTGTTCTTGAGCTTGTCCAACATTTTTTTGGGTTAGCCTAGTTTGAATAAAACATGATGATGACAAATATGAAACACAAATTAAATATTAAACTAAAATAGGTACATACTACATACCTCTTTTTTCAATTCTAGTTTTGCCAAAGAAACATATTATTTTGTTATATTTGCTTCTTCAGGTATGTTTTTGATTTTTTAGAATTTTTCCTATTTTAAATAAGTATAGGAAACATTTTACATTTTTAATAAATAAATAGTGATAAGTGATGAGAAATAATAATTAATACATTTCTTACCTACTAGATTCTAGTCTTTCCTTGTGACCCAAATTAATTTCATTAATCTCTAGCTTGTCTCCGACACTTTGTCGTCATCAGTTCATCTCCACATTTTACTTGACACAACAATACGTCATAGTAAGCACTTTGTCACCTAATTAGAATAAAACATTACAATTCAGAAATAAATAAAACAAAATCTTATCCAGGATTCATTTAATATGATTGATGTTCAGAGAAGCAAGAGTTTTGCTAGAAATCAGATTTATATGCAATAAAAATTAATAAATATGGTTTTAAAAATATGGCCAATATGCTAGTATTTAGAAGCATATTAAAAAAAATGATGAATTTAGATAGGTACAGCAATGTTTATTTGTTCATTTATTATTGTAAAATTATAAATTCAAAAATAATAATAAGGTAAATTTAGGTTGTATTTCAGTCTTAAAAAAGACTATATAACGTTGTACAACCTATAACAATTTAAAAGAAGCAAATAACTTAAAATTAAATATTATCCTCTAAAAAAACCCAAGAAGTTTAAGAGCCTTATTACACATAGACAGAAACAAAGATCACAAAATGATTTACAAAACATTTGGATTGAAGATCGATTTCTTATGTGGATGTATTTAGACCAATTTTTAGTATGTGTGAAAGTCATTACAATGAATAATTAACAGTACAGTTATTGTAACAAAATTAACACTTACCCACAGAAAATTTGTATTGTTTCCATTACCTATGAAATCAGGTACACCAATCGAGTCTGAAACAGTCACATTTCTTGGTACACAAAAAAAGTCTGTTTCCATCATGTCATTGGGTACACAAACTGAGCCTGTTTTTGTCATGTCGTCAAACGAACAGGATATTTGGAGCTGTCGAATCTATATTCTTGAATCGTGGTGTTAATATATGTTTGTATATTATGTTTCGTTGTATTGAAGACGCAGATAGATTGACGTGCAGATCAATACTTAATAATATAAAGAAGAATTTGATAGTATAAGAAAGCAGATGCTAAAATGGCAAAATACGTACAAGTAAGGAAGATGAAACGAGTTAGGACGGTATCAATCAATATGGCGCCGGTTAACGCGATTTGACTAGATCCAATAAACGCAAACGGCACAAGCAGGCAGTCAGAATAAACCAGCGGTCGTCCTTACGATTTGAATTTACCGAAGGGCTGTCACAGTCCACAGTTTCACAATATTCTCGATTCAGATCGCTGGAAAATCATAAATAAGTGAATTATTGTGCCACTCGTAACAATACAATAAATTATTGTCAACACAGTCTACCGACTACTGATTACTGATTAGTGAGTGTTATCATTTGTCCGCCATCCGGCTTGTCATGAGATTGCATTAGTTCGAGGCACGGGCGCACGCTTAGATCATAATTAGGGCTAGGATGGTATAGGATTTTGCAATTTTTTTTTAAGATTCATTGGACATAGCTTTTCAAGCCCAAAATGTGATTTGGTCATATACGAGTCCAAATATATAGTTTTTATTTTGCTTTTTTTTGCATTTTTTGTACTTTTATGGATTTAGGGTCATTTAACGGGCATTATTTTTATACTTTTTTGAAATCTAGGTAATATTTTTATACATTTTCATTTACACTAGATATTTTCGATAAAAGTTTTGAATTTGTAACAAAACTTTAAATGTCAATAAAATTTTGTTTGTTGGGTAAAAAAGCTTGCAATTTCAATAGAAGGCTCCTAACATATTATTTCAAAGACAGATTAGAAATATTAAAAATCCATAATTACAATTTTTTTATAAGCAATTAAAGTTCAAATATTGACAAAATACGTAATATTCTCGAAAATGTGCAAATTATTTTGAGTTAGTTAAAAATATTTCTTCTTAAATCTAAGATTTGAAAAAGCAATACAAGATTTTTCATAGGTAAGTTTGTCTATACCTTTATCAAAAAAAAAATGTCTACAACAAGTCAAATTAAATTTTTATGAGCGTTTGAAATTCATATTATTACAACATTGGATATTCACTCTATTTCTCATGTAACGGTTTTATAATTTTGTTGTAATTCAAAAACGAATAACTGTAGATAGGTACATGAACATTTCACTGAATGTGTATTTTATCGATTCTTATACGTGATAAAATTTTCAAAATATTTTGACCTGTTTTCAGCAATTTCAGTTTTAATTTTTTTAGTTTTTTTTTCTATGAATATCAATAAATTATTATTTGTTGGACCAAAAAGCGTGAAAATGTAATACATAAGGCTCATGATATATTTCTTAGATAGTAGTTGAAAATATTACAAATATATAGGCACAATTTTTTTTATAAGCATTAAAGTTCGATTTTTGACAACTTCTTAAAATTTAAAAGTGATTTTGTAGTTAAAAATTAAAATGTATCAATTTTTCAACTTTTATAGCTATAACTGCTAAGGATTGAAAACTTACAACAAGGTTCCACGTAAGTAGGTTATTCTGTAACCAAAAAATCTCAAAAACATAACAACACAGTTTTTTCTTAGGTATAGTTATTTTATGTTCAAATTTGGAGGACATTACATATTAAATAACCAAGAATAACGATTTTAGTTATTTTGTTGTAATTTTATAATATTAATTTAACTTACCGTCTACCGTATTAACAATAAGCAATAACTAATAACAATATATTAATATAATATAAAGTATCCACACTGGCATGCCGTCAACGCTCAGAATCGTTTTTCGTATTTTCGTATACTGACATGATATTATATGTCATTGAATTCAAATTTAATACCATCCATTATACCGTGACCCACTTTTAACCTACTGTACAGCAGAGCGACATCCTATTCCCACCTTTTTTCGATTTATGTAGGTACTATAAAATGTTTATTTCTGAAAAAAAATCATAACAATTTAATAAATTGATCTTACAGCATATTTTGTACAACTTTTTTTAATTAGACGTTACTGTTGTTAAAGTAATTGTATTGTTATTTTATTGTTAAATGGAGGATTTAATGGAATTTATTTATTTTCTTGAATTCGTTGGAGAACATATACAAAGGCATTTAAGGGATTTGGAAAATCCATTAGATTTTTTTTCGGATTTGGAATTTTGATTATAAATTGTTCGTTTTGTAAAAATCTTGAAAATTTTAAATAAGGTACCTCTTGAGATGTTATTATAGCCATTTAAACAATATTTGAGCTTAAATCAACAATAATTTGTTATGAGCATTATAAGATAGAATTTTACTCACACTAATAATCATTTACAACTGAACAAAGTTAGAAGTCACAAAATTTCACAAATTGAGATAATGCGAAAATAATAGACGGATCATATGTGAACATTTGCAAAAAAAACATTTAATTTTAAGACCGTTGCACCGCTGTAAATAATTATTATGGAAGACAAATAACGTAAGTCCTGGACTTGTAACATTAAAACAATATTTAAAAAATAGTATTTTGTAATTGTAATTAGGCCGACTGTCGACTACGCCTATTTGAGAATAAATGTAAGTCCAGTATGAACCTATTGCAATTCAGCCAATCATTTACACCACGGACAATGGTGTGTTGTAGAAACGACGTAAGTCCAGAATCTTTACGTGACTTAGGTTGAACTAATTTTTGCCAAGAATATCACTCACCTATGTTAGATTAATATAATAATATATTATGATTATTGTATCATACATTTTGATACACTTGATATAGCCAAAGTCGATCAAAAAGTTCATGACAGGAAAAACAACAACACATATCATCCTATTGATTTTACAATTATAATTATAATCACATTTTAAATGAACATTATTTAAAATTATCAAGTGGACTGATTTTAATTTTTAACGAATATGAATCATGATATATAATACGTTTGTGTGGAGCTATATCGGTCATAAAATCCTCAGGAGTCAGGGTACTGGTTCTTAGTAATTATTAGTATATGGTAATCCGGACTTTCATTGAACATATATATAAACATATAAATAATAGATTTGCTATTAGGTAAATGCTAACTATAACTTATAAGCATCTTATAACTTTTTGATTACAATTGGCGATTGTTTGTATGAGATCGGACAAAATTAATGGGATAGGTACATGGATTTTGACTCATCCAGCGTGAAATTTTATTTTCTTATAGCAAGAAAAAGTTCTAATTTTTAAAATAAACTTTTTATTATTTGATAATTATTTGCTATTTTTGGGTTATCTATAAGGTAAAATGGATGGACCAAGTTCATGGACGTAATTGTTTGTCGCTTGCGCAGGGCCTGATTAAGGAGTTGGTCTCCAGTAAGCTAGGGTTGATTTGGCGCCCCTATGAATGATCGAAGTGGTTGGAGGGTAAAACGAGGATTAAGAAAACGTAAAAACAACAGACTTTTTTTGTTTAAAATAAAATGTGTTTTATATTTAATAAAATTATACACAAAAGCATTTCAACATTTTTAATTTATGATTGAACTAAATATTATTCATTTAAAAAAGTTTTTTCCTTGATTTTAACGCTGCGAAAGGCTCTACTATTTCATCGAAAGAAATATTGTTCATGAATTCACTTTCAATAAACAAAAGTGCAAGGGCCTGCTTCATTTTATCCTGGCGTAAAGTGGATCTTAAAATGTTTTTCACCCGCCCTAGAGCAGAAAAAGATCTTTCTCCGCTACAATTTGTGACGGCCATTCTCAAATATATTCTTAGAGCCACTTCAACATTTGGAAATAGTGACTCTATCTTCAAGGATTTTAAATGACTCAAAAGTCTTATATATAATATTAGTGGATGTGGGATCGCTCGGTCTTCGGTGTGATAAGCCCGCGACGATTACAAGAAATAGGTATATGACAAATAACGTAATATATATATTAGTATATTACAATAGTCGACCGGGCGGAAATTCGTTGCGGCGACGCGGTAACGGCACGGCGAATAGGCCGCGGCATTGAACGTGTAATAACGAAAATATAATTTTTTTGTTTTAAAGTATATATTATGCAAAAATTCTACATTCGTAAAAAAAATTTTGTGGCGCCCCCAAAACGCTTGGCGACCTAGGCTGTAGCCTACTTAGCCTATTGGTTAATCAGGCCCTGCGCTTGCGGTATCAAAATCAAAATTCGAACTAGTAGTTTTTGAAATATATTTAAATTATAATATAGGTCCATGATAATGGGCTTGGAAGATATGGGAGCTATAGCGATTTAAACATTTCAGTGATTAATATTAATCTACAAACATTAGTAGCTTGTAAAAATGGTCCAAGTACAGTAAATACTGCACTGTATATTTCGTCTATTTTAATTTTTTGATCCTTATAGTAGGTTTAAATATTTAAACATTGAGAGACCACTACTTTTGAGTTTTGAATTATCTAGGTACACCTATTATAAGTCTGTATATCGACTTTTAAAAAAAAATTACCTACTAAATAATTTGCGGTAAAAAAGGGGTTCTTATTTGGAAAACAGAAGTTTGTATCGATACAGAGTACTGCAGCTTAAGTGAAAGAAAAAAAATCAAGAATTTTAAAATTTAAAAAATCAGAATTGTAACAAATTCATTGTTAAAGGAAAAATAGGGGCCATATACTTAATGAATCACTCTGTATCTATATTAGCCAATATCATAATATATAGGACATGTGTAAGTCACAAGTATTACAGTATTGGTATGCAATATAGGTAGGTAGGTATACAATGTGTACCTACATATAAATAATATATAATTATGGGCTTTTCGTGTGCGTCTCGTCCATCAGCTGTATCCCATAGCTGAATAATCATAATAATAAGGTGCCTGTGCGGTGTGTACGCGGTAATTTATGGCGTTTTTAATATTATAATA